CGTTATCTCTTTCTGAAAATTTAGTATTCATCTTCTGGATTTCTATCTTTAGATTTTGTATCGTTTCTAATTTTTTATTTATTTTGTCATTTTGTTCTTGTACTGTCTTTCAAAATTGTTCTAGGGTTTTCTCTGTGTTTTCCTCAATTTTGTTAGTGTTTTCCTTGATCTGTCTCTCAGTTCGTTTAAGATACCTCAATGTAATTCTTTTGAACTCCTTATCAGGGAGTTCCAATAATGTGTCTTCCTCAGGAATGTGTTTTGGGTCTGTATCCTGATCCCTTGTTTCTCATACTTTATCTTGCTTCTTTATGTGGATGGTGATGCTCTGTTGTTTCCAGAGCATTGTTATGTATTTGTGTTTATATTTAATTGGTGATTGTATGTTGGAGTGATTTGCCCACGATTTTCATTTTCTTTGTTTGTTTGTATGTTACCTATGTAAGCAGGGCGCTTGTTGTGCTCCTCCATTCGCGCTAGTGTACAGCACTTATACACTCACCACCTGTCTCCTTTCCCATTGTCAACCTCTTGTATTGCCATCCTTGGCAAATGGAGCCTATTCTTAGGTCCCTGGAATCTGAATGAGACTACTGTCACTTTAAAATCTAAAATGGCCACCACTCGTAAACATTGAAAATGGCTGCACCCTCGGTCACTTTAAATATCCAGATGGCTGCACCCTCCGGACAGTTGAATGTCCACAGCTCAGGTTGTCTCCCCCCTTACTGTTTCCCTTCCTAATCATAGTCCATAACCACAGTCATCCCTGCAGCCCTTGGCAACCAGGGCTGATCTTTACGTCAGTTCTCAGGTCCCAACACCACTTGGAAATATTCAGGCTGTTGGTCCCATCAGAGTAGCTTACAGTCCACTGCTCCAGCCATCTCCATGCTCACTGTTTTTATTCAGGTTTTTCCACTAGTTGGTGCCTTATGCACTTCTGTATACTTCCTTTCCTCAGGGCTGCAGGATTATCTTCTGTGTCTCTGTCAATTGGTTTCTCTTTTCTCCGTTGAAGAGGATCTTTGTAGCTTGTCTGCCTATTCTGCCATCTTACTAGAAGTCCCATTAACGTTACTTTTCTGATTGTGATGCTTTTGTGATTTCATAGGAAAATATCTTTATTTTTAGGAAATACACACTGAAGTATTGTGGAGTGATGAGACATCATGGTAGCATATTACATTCTGATGGTTCAGGAAAAACAGTTTGTGATTCCTTCCATCTTTAAAAGTATTAAGGACATAAGAATTACTGAGATTTAAAAGTAACTGATAAAAAAAAAAGTTGCCAAAGAATTGCAAACACGCATATGAAGGCGTTTTCTACAAAGAAAACAGAAGCAGTGGCACGGCGTAAATACTAAAGACATATAAACAAGAATTTTTAAAAGTTTTTTGTTGTTGTTGTTCTTGTTGTTTCAAACTACATATTGAAATGCATTCCATATACCTGGGAAATAGTCTAATAAAATTGTTCATATTTAAAGAAAAAGAAAAAATTCTTTGGACCTCCAGCCCTTCACCACCCCACCACCCCCAAAAAAAAGTCTTCTAAAAGAAAGAAAATCAGATTGTCATCTGAATTTCATCAACAGTGTTTTATTAGAGACAATGGAGTCAGCATACCCAAAGAAGAAACTGAATCAAACAGACTTTCACATATAAAGGCTGCAGTTATATTTATCAACAAAGGATTAGTGTAATGTTGTTCCTATAAACATTTCTTGAGGGGAAAGAACAAATGTCAGACATTTTAACTGTGATGAGAGAAAGATTGACATAAAGAATGGTGTTAGTGTTAATGAAGATCGTTATGAGAAATTGAGTGTATTATATGAAATGACTATGTTCTTACAATTTTGGTAAAGAAATGGGGAGAGAATTTAATGGTAATATGAAAAGAAGCTTGCTGATTGTTTATATTTATTAACTGGATATAAAAAACAAACAAACTCACTGTCATTGAGTCGATTCTGATTCATGGTGACCTCCTTTCTGCTTCCAAGGTGGTAAATATTTATGGAAGTAAATTACCCAGTCTTCCTTCTGAGGAGTGGCTGGTGGGTTTGAACTGCCAACCTTCTGGTTAGTAGTCAGATGCCTTAGACACTATGCCGCCAGAACTCCTTATTAACTGGATATAGAGGGATATTATTTCAAATCAGATGCTGGGGAGATTGTTCATAGTAGGGAATAGAAGACAAAACCCAAACAAAAGGTTACTATTAGAATGAAAGAATAAACCTCCCTAAATTAAAATATATATACTTAAAAGAACAAATAAAATAGAGCACACAGTAAGACTATGTTCCATTTTCTGTTGCTTCACAACAAACTACCCCAAAGCTTAGTGGACTAAAACAATAACCATTTTATGGATTTTATAAGCTAGGATTTTAGGCAAGATTTGTTGTGTAGGTGATTTGTGTATTCCTTGTGACATCAGCTGAGGTCATTTAATGGGACTCATTTGGTGGACAGAAAGTTTTGGAGGATCCAAGATGGCTTCATGCACCTTTTCTTATGCTTTGGTGGTACTGACTTGAAGTCTGAGTTCAGTGATCTATATCATGTGACTTTTGCAACATGGTGGTTGTAGGGTATTTGGACTTCGTACATGGTTCTGGCATCCCCCAAAACAAGCATCCCAAAAGAACCAGGCAGAAACTTCCACCATATTCCATTGCTTGGTTACAATTAGACCACTCAGATTCAAGGAGAAGGGAGTTAGACTCTACTTCTTCTTGATGCAGAAATAACAAGGTCTCATTGTAGAACAGCATGTGGATTGCAAACATCTTTGGAAAATGTAATGTGCCATAGGCTATTTATATAAAAGGCTTGAATACACATAAAACAGTATATCTAGAACTGAGATCAAACAAACTCAATCATATCAAAAGTTAACTCACCTTAAACTGATAAAAGAAAGTAATTTTTAGCTTCATTAGTAAAGCAGAATCTCATTTTGTGGAGTGAATATATGAGACAAACCTAAACAAAGATAAAGGTTAAAAATAAAAACACTGTGTAGCTATAAGAAAAAGAATGAGGAATATCTGTATATACTACTATGTAAGTGGTTACCAGAATATATTTACTATTAAGTGAAAAAGCAAAATGGAGAAACATGTTCCTTTTTATCTACGAAAGAGGGAAGTGTGTGTGTGTATGTGTACACATACATAATTGTATGTACATAACTATGTATTGTATCTAAATACTATAGAATAAATATATAAAAATATGTTTGCATATGTGTTGCTGCTTATGTTATTTAAAATTGGAAAAATAAACCTTTCTTTAAATGTTTACATGTAAGGGCCAAAGGGGGAAAAGATGGGACAGAGGGATGGAAGCTTGACATCCTTTTTAATGTCTTTGTTTTATAGATCTGACTTTGAAACTCTATGAATATTTTACCTAATTGTGAAAACTTTAAAAAAAAAATTGAAATTGAAAAGGGAATAAATGAATCTAGGCGTGTATCCATTTCGCAGCATTCCACCCAGGGGGAACTATTCCAAATGACTTTAAAACACAGTAAAGTCCCTGGTGGGCTGTATTCAAATGATATAAAGAACAAGGGATAAAAATGAACTGCCCTTAGTAATCATAGCATGGTGATAATGTTGGTATTGTTAATCTAAAACTGTTGTCAGTGTAATATTAGGGTAAAACAAGTAAGTCACTGTGCAGTGTTCTAATCCTATTAAATTACTTTAAATGTATTTAAAGTTTTTGGTGAATTGTTGCTTCAATTAATTTTAGTATCCATAGAAGAAAATTGATGATGATGGTGAAAGGAAGACAAACTCAACAGTAATTGTGCTTACTCTGTATTAAACTATACAGACTTCCAGACAAGTTGTTTGCTATTACCAAAAGACTGGCTTTATAAGAAAATCAGATAAGATCTGACCTAATTGTCTCTAAATAATCTGTTTATTTATATCCTATGCAAAGTTAAGCATACCTATTCCTCACTTACCAGCTATCTGGTTATCCAACATTTCACATTTACAACAATAGTAACAAAATCTACTGTCTGGCTGTTTTGTACATTGACAACATACGTCTTGGAGTAACAAATGCTGAGATACAAGGGAAGAGGGTAACATTGGCTGTGATGGTTAAGATTATGTGGCTGGGCCATGATTCTCAGTGGTTTGGCAGTTATGAAAAGGTGTAGCATCCTCCATTTTGTGATCTGATGTGGGCATCCTCCATTTTCATGTAACGCCATTGTTCTCATTATGACCTGGTCTTTGGAACCTGACCTTGTTGATAAGTGAGGAGTGGGTGTATGTATAACCATGTAGTTGAAATAGTTTTAAAGTGCTTAAAGTTTTTTCATTAATGGATTTGGTAGAGTTTATTTGGCATATAACAAGAATATATGATGTAGATAAAAATGGTACTCATGAAAATTATACTTGTTTTTGTAGAAAAAATATTTTAAATAAAAATTTCATGTTACTTAAGGTTGTTTTTGTACCTTCAATACTTTGACATTTTGAGAGTTCATTCATTATAAAATGAGTTAAAGTAAATTTAATTTCATTAATCAATTTTGCCCCTAATTATTGACTATGTATGAGTTCTATATGTAGAATGTAAAATTAACTGATTCTCAAGGGAATCAAAGCATTTAGTATAAAATACAAAAACCAGGAAGGATTAGAATTACGGTTAGATAGCAATAAGATTATTGCTGCTATCTGAAGTGTGGAAATTGTCTTTTAATTGATTAAAAGTGTTAGGAACTTTAAAATAACTCATGGAGAACTCTTAACTGAGCCAGTTCTAATTTATGGGATGTTTGCAACTTTATTAATAATTTGTAAAATTTTTATATTGTATAAAATCTTAGCAGATTACTATTTTGAGATTCTGACCACATTCAATCAAGACAGTTTACATAGTTAATACTTCATGTAACTTATTTTTTGAGAGTACTTATAAAATGTAAATTTATTTTTTCCTTTCCATCAGAATACAGTCGTTTCGAAGCTAAGATACATGATTTACGGGAGCAGATGATGAATAGTAGCATCAGTTCAGGGTCAGGTTCTCTTCGAACTAGCCAGAAGCGATCCCTCTATGTCAGGTAAATTCTTTTAATTCTGATATGGTAATCCTTAATTATTTATGCATGCAAATTCTAGTTTTTCACTATGAATTACTGTTACTATAGAAAAATATATTGCAAATCAAGGAAATGTTTTTCTTTATAATTTATTTGCTTACAGTATGTCTTTGAGACTTACTATATATATATGTGTATATATATATACACACTACATATATATATACTATATATAATTTTACTAATGAAAGGTATATAACTCCTCAAATAATGATGATAAAATTAAAAAAATACTAAATAAATGTGGGCCAAAACATTATTTTAGATTGGTATTTTACTGCATTATTACAAGCTTGATATGTCATTTCATCCAGCACATATTTAGCTGTATCCTTTTATAATAAAATCTCTATTTATATAACATTTAATTACGATTGCAGATTCTATAATAGCTAAGAGAACTTACGTAAATGATAGTTTAAGTTGTGAATATCCTTAATAAGCAATGCATATTGAGGAAATTTTTACATAAATATTTTAAACACTTGAGAAAAGTTAAGCATGTTATCTATGATGGAGGTTGATGTGACAACATGGACCTCATAATATGATGTAGATATTGGTAGTATATAAACTATTCATTTTCATTTTATTGGTTAATAAGACTTAAAACAGAAGTCCCATTTGTTTGTATTCTACATACTTTTTTTTAAGTAGAACTTCCACTGAGCATTTTATTATTTTAATTTTAGTTGATCACTATCAGTAATGTCTACTTTTCTTTCTTAATTCTTTCATTCCTCCTGATAACTGTTAGAGAGCCTATACCTAACAGTAAGAGATATTGTATGCTATATAAAACAGACATGGATCCTGCAAAAACAACAAGGAGGCCACATGTTCTGACCTCCTCTAAACCCACAAGAGGAAGACAGGATTACCAGCAGTAACCCAAGGCCTATTCCTGCCAGGCCACACATGCTGCCTCCCTCCAGCCCTTTCACCAACCGTTCCTCCCAAAGCACCCACCACCTCTCTCCTGGGTTCGATAATTCGCTGCAGTGGCCACACAGAGCTCACAGATTATGGGGTTTATTAGGGAAGCACCACAGGCTACAATTCAGGTTCAGGAAAAAATGCTCAGTCTCTCTGCCAGTCCACCGTCCCTCAGCCAACAGTCTCTCACAGTCTCTTTCTCAGCAGTGCTGTTCCCTCGGTATCTCACTCAGCAATGCGTGTCTCTTGCATCTCTTTCCCAGCAACGTGTGTCTCAGGAGCCCATTCTCTTTCAGCAGCACGTCTTCCTCCACCAGCAGTCAGAGAGAGTTCTGCCTCTAGGAGGCCTCCTTTTGAGCCCGGCAGGGTGGTCAAACTAGCCAATCATAGCATCAGAACTCTAAGCACCTGAGAGAGAGTGGGCACCTCCCAGAACATTGTTTTGTGCCACTCCCAACAGAAATACTCCAGGTGGACACCTTCAGCAATCAGGAGCTCCTCAGTTGCTCATAGCAAATCCCACCTTGGAGTTTACAAAGACTTATGGGTAGAAAAGCCACACAAAGTAATTTACTACACTGTAGATCCTATATATACATGTTTAGATGTGTGTGGGTATATATTTATACACACAACCATGTACTGTCTTCTGGTTTACATGTGATATAACATGTCTCAATTTTTTCTGCGATGCATAATAAAAGGAAATTTTTCTCATTTTCTTTTCTTGTTCAGTTCCTGTGCCTTTCATCCTTCTATTCTACCATATATGACAGTCCTAAATGTGTCTTAATTTACTCTCCCTCCACCAATTTCTGCAATACTTATTAAATTCTTCTGTTATAAAGCTATTTAAAATGTTTTGTGTGCACACATCCACAAAAAAAAGGAAAAAGTAGAGATTTTTATTTATGCTTTCCTTTTTTTCTTTTTGCTTATCTATATTTTCTAATTTTAATATATTTAGCAGATGTTCCTTTTATTTATAATTTGTTAAAGTGTTACAAAGGTATAAAATCAAAGCATATCAGGTTATACTTGTTTTGGGTACAGTTGATGAGTCAATTTCACTTTTTGTTGCTAATTTTTATGTTTAGAGAAGTAGTACTCTGTTTTTAAAAGTCATTATCTTATCAAAAGGCTTACAATGAAAAATAACTCACCTTCCAGCAACCCTCAATTTTATTCTACAGAAACAATACCTTTATCTCCAGATTTCTAAATAATAACACGTATACTGTTTTTTTCCTAGTTTACTACCTTTGGTTATTTTACTGCCGTGGTAGGGAAGAATTTTTCTTTCCCTTACCAAGTCATTCATTCTCTTTTGCAGTCCCTCAAATTTGGCCCTATTACAGTTTTTTAAATAAAATTAATAATATTTACAATCATGTGAATTTGTAATAACAGTCATTATTCAGTCTTGTACCCCACGACCATGCGTCCTTTCTTCTGCCACACTTTACTTTTCCCTAGACTAAATGATTATCTCACATTTTCATTTGCTTAATTTTCCATGTACTCACTACTGGTATCTTTCTTTATCTTCCAGTTGCTTCTCTAGAGTTTTTTACATGATGAACCATGATCACAAATATGTCTGTTATACCAGATAATCAGTTCAGATTTTTTCCATCTTTCTACTCCAGTCTGGACTGGTTGCTTTGTAAGCTGGTTGTATGATTCTCACATGGATATTTCTTTTGCTGTTACCCTGTTCCCTTTGACTGTTAATCATATCAGAGTCTATTTCCTACCTGTCACATTTTCTTCTTTCTCAGTTTACTTTCATTTTACTAGAGCACATCCTCCAGTAAATTCCTCAGAAAAGGACACATAGAAGGTACTTTCTGAATCTTAGCATATCTGAAAGTAACTTTATTCTGCCTTCTACTTGGTTGAGAATTTGGCTGGATACATTATAGAATTTAAGTGAAAATATTTTTCCTCAGACTTTGGAATGTTACTCCATTATCCTCTATTTTCTAAAGAGTTTTTGAGAAATCTGATGCCTTTATGATTTCTGTTTCTCAATAGGTGTTCTCCTTATGAAATTTCCCAATAATGTGCTTGGTATGTGGGGTCCCCCTCCCACCATGAACTGTGCTGAGCACTCAGTGAGCTCCTACTCTACAGACTCCTGTTTATCTGTTCTGAGTGTTTTCTTGTATTTGTTGATCCTTTTGTTCCTCTGTGTTCTCTTTGTGGAATTTTATTAGTCAGGTATTGGATATCTAGTATTCTTTCTTTTCCCTTGTTGTGTTTATCTTTGTCTTTTTACCTGTTTTCTAGGAAATATCTATATTTTTTTATCTTCTGTCTCTTTCTATTTTTAAGGGCAGCAAGGGTAAAAATGCTCTCCTATTTTATTTCCCAAGAGCTCATTCTTGTTGTGTTCCTTTTTTGCCATCTTCCTTTTATTCATATATATATAATATCTTCCCATATTTCTCTGAAAATAAAAATTGTAGTTTTCTTCTGTATCTTGCATTTTCTGCTTTCTCTTTCTCTTTTGTCCAGTGTGCATGTTTTCTTGGGTTACTTTTTGTTTGTTTATCTTCGAATATTTAGTAGTCTTTCCATTCTTATGAAAAATGAAGCTAGTAGATTTAACTAGAAGATAATAGAGCAAGGAATGAATTGGCTTTGTCATTGCTCTCTCCTACTTATGTTCATTCTTACCTTTGGGAGTCATTAATATCTTTAGAGAAGAATCTTTACTCTTCTGCCCACAGTATAAACCAGGTTCCTGCAATTTCAGTTTTCAGTATGGATATTTCCTTTTAATTCAGCTGTTTTCAGCCCTGGATTGCTCCCCACCACCATCATTACCACCACCAAGTTCCACAGTACAGAGCGTTTCAAATTCACTTTCTCCAGAAACTCAACTTCTGGCTTCTGTGGAATTGAGGGACCTAAGAATTTCCACCCGTCTTGCTTTTTCAGTGCTATAACTCATCCCTGCCTGCCTTAATAATATAGATCTCTAATTCATAAGCAATTCTAGAGGCCTGTGGAGTAAGTATCCCTTTCTTCAGGCCCTCCATCATAGCTTCTTCCACTCTGTTAAGCTTAGTTACCGTCATCTAAAAACATATTAAAATTCTCTTTTCTCCTATTGTCTTCTTTTATATTTATTTCTCTTTTTTAAAAATTATTATTATTTCTTGGTCATTTTAGTGAATGTGGAGATGGAGGCAGTCTGCCATAGTTAGAGGCTTATGATTCTTTTTAGTAAATTTATTTAAGATCTGAAAATGAAAGAAAAAAAATCTAAGACTATAAATACTTACACACAGTATGATACCTTTTTATAAAGCTCTAAAATAAAGCCATACATTATATTGTTTAATCATCATATATGAGCAACAGAAAAAAGGTAAAGGAACTAAAAACATTACATTCAGAATGTGGTTACTTTCTAATGGTGATTAACTCTTAATCTCAGGGAGATAAAATCAGGAGGAAAATACACAATTGACTATAAGTTACTAGTGATGGTATAGTGGGTAGTCTTGGGTTGGATAGTAGATCAACAGATGTTCCTTACGCTTTTATGACTAATAAGTCACATATATATTCTATGGGTTCCTTTTTTTTTTATTAATCGGAGATATTAAAAGATAAATCTAAAATGCTAAATAATGTTATTTAGGGAGTAGGGTTTGTGGGTGATTTCTTTTGCTCATTCTTCACCAATATAGTTTTATTAGTATTGTTATTCAAAAAAATCAGTTATGATAATAAAAATGTAGGAGATATTTTTTTTCCCCTCTTCTGAATGTCTTTTGACGTTTTCTCTACCTCCTAAGGTACTTTATTTTCCATTTTATGTTTTGCTTAGTTCCATCTTGATCATCCTTGTCATCTTTATCTCATTGACTTTTAAATAATATTTAATAAATGACTGACTGTATCAAACTTTTATATTGTTTGAGTTTAGCTGTGTTTTTTCAGTACAAAGCTAATACCTTAGTATTCAGAATTTATTATTGGAAATAATGAAGTAATTTATATCCTCTATTATCTTTATGTTTCAGCTATAGAATTCCTTTTTTAAAAAAATTAAAATGTTTCAATACTTCCAATTTGTTATATTTGTTTTAATATCCAAGGCAGTATCACTACAGAAGTAGATTACCCAACCTTCCTTCCAAGGAATGGCTGGTGGGTTTGAACTGCTGGCTGTCTGGTTAGCAGTCAGATGCCTTAGGCACTACGCCACCAGAGCTCCCTTTATTATCTTTATGTTTCAGCTGTAGAATTCCTTTTTTAAAAAATTAAAATGTTTCAATACTTTCAATTTGTTATATTTGTTTTAATACATGTTTAAGTGGGCCTTCCTACTTTACATTCCCTAACTTTCTTCTCTCACACCATTAGTGTGAACTGGAAGGAACTTGATCAAAACCATTAACCACTAGTTCATTCATTTAGCCACTGAATAAGTTTACCTCTCAGTTTTACTTTAAGAGAGAGATTCTTAAAGTTTGAGCATGAAAAGGAATATGATTTATTTAATTTCCAGTTGTCATATTAGAAGATTGAATAAATTCGATTTTAAATGCAGTTACTCAGATCCTTTTCCTATACTCTTTAAAGAGTTTCTCTGGACTTAAAAATTTAACTTGTTTAAATGTTGTATATTAATTAAGTGGTAGAACACAATATTTTCTTTTTACCAGATTTAAAATATGCTTAGCATTTAGCAATTGCTATATTAAACTAATATTTTTTCTAAAATATATGGCAGCTGATAAAGTCATCTGTAGTTAGTTTTCATCATTGTTATTAGCTCCAAAAACTCTCTTAACTCTAGTTTTGTGAACAAATGGGAAGAATAATTAACTGGCATAATAATCACTATGTTGATCTAGACTTAGAATCCACAATTAATGAGTCAAATCTACCAGGGAATTTGTTTTCCCAAGTGTGTCTAATCACAGCACAGAGAAATTTATCTCTTAATGTTTACTTTTTGTCTATTAATTTAGAGTAACTGTCTAAATTGCTCTCCATGTTAGCATTGACGTAGATTACCGTTAGACTGTTCTCTTACAATACAGAAAGAAAGCAAGGAATTAATTTTGCTATTTGTTTTTTGTCTCATTCTCTTCTTACATGCAGTATAAAATTGGGTTTGATACTATTTTGCCTACCATAGTGTTTCATTTAATTATATATTCAGATTATATACATTTTCAGAATCTTATCTTTACTTAATATAATTTAAAATGAAAATTACATGAATATTTTTTCTTCTTAATCTAGAGCCCTTTTTGATTATGACAAGACTAAAGACAGCGGACTTCCCAGTCAGGGACTGAACTTCAAATTTGGAGATATTCTCCATGTTATTAATGCTTCTGATGATGAATGGTGGCAAGCCAGGCAGGTCACATCAGATGGCGAGAGTGATGAAGTTGGAGTAATTCCCAGTAAACGCAGGTAAATACAAGTCTCTTACAGTCTTTCCATTTGAAAGTTGGGCAACATAAGCAAATAATTGCTGTTTCTTTAAGTTCCTTGTACAACAGTGATGATTTTATGATTGGTTTTCCTTATTGTCTTTCCCAACCATATAATTTTATTCATATTGTATTGTAACCAATTATATAACTGGAAAATATCTCCCACAACAGAAATTTCTGTAAGGCTCCTACTAGTTACTAAAAAAGGAGCTCTGGTGGTGTAGCGGTTAAGGCATTTGGCTGCTAACCAAAAGGTCGGTGGTTCAAATCCATCAGTCACTCCACAGAAGAAAAATGAGGCAGTGCTTCCCTAAAGATTTATAGCCTTAGAAACCTAGTGAGCATTGTTGTGAGTCAGAATTCGATTCACTCAATGGCAGTGACTTTGGTTTGGTTTGAGATTTGCTAAAAGGAGGGCTTGAACAATTTCTCTTAAAAAGATCAGCATGAGGCTGGTCCCCATGAGGCGGAGGTTAAAGATGTCCCAAATGTCCAAACTACCGTATGACTCCATCATTTCAGACATTAACTCCTCCTCCTCCTCCCAGTAATTTCCCCAGTCTTAGGGTTCTGTAGCACCTCACAGAACTCACAGACACCCAAGGGTTCGTCTCACGTAGTAGTGGTGGAGGCTGGCAGGCTTGTGAGTCCCGGGTCCGTGAGTAGGTCTGGCGGATCCTCCCAACTGTCGGGGTTTGATGAACCTCGATCAGCAGATCAGATGATGGCTGCTGTCCCAAATCCAGGAGTGAGATGAGGATGTTCCAAGACACAAAGCCGGAGCAAGAGGAGAGGTATACCCTCAGGGAAGCTAAGGGTGGTGATTGGAATTATACCCTCCAGCAAGGCAGGACTCAAGGTACATTCCACCTGTCTTGCCCCAACAGCAATAACCTAAATCCATCACAGAGATGATTGCCAGTCATTATATAGGGAATGACTACTACCAGCTGCCCAGCCAAGTTGATACCTGACCTTAACTACCACACCACCCCAAACAGGCATGGATAATGGGATTTACAAAACATCACAGAATGGAGGACAATGGCTAGAAGGGCCACATCAAGCAATTCACTGCAGGAAGTAAGCAAGGAGTCACTGGGTGGCACAAATAGTGAAGCACTCAACTACTAGCTGAAAGGTTGGCAGTTCAAACCCACCCAAAGGCGCCTTGAAAGACAGATCTGTTTCAAAAACGTTTTGAAAACCCTATGGAGCAGTTCTGTGTACCTGTGGGATCATCTTGAGTCAAATCAGCTGTACAGCAACAACAACAAAGTTGCTGAAAACACATTTTAAGTCACTGTGTGCCATATGGTAGGAGCCCTAGTGACATAGTGGTTAAAGTGGTTGGCTGCTAACCACAAGGTTGGCAGTTCACACACATCAGCTGCTCCACAGGAGAGAGATGTGGCAGTCTGTATCCATGAAGATTACAGCCTTAAAACTCTATGAGGCAGTTATAATCTGTCCTATAGGGGCATATGAGTTGGAATCGACTTGATGACAACAGGTTTGTTTTTTGTTATGCCATGTATTTATCACATTGAGAAAAACAACTGAAAGTGTCTGTAGTTTGTGCACATAGGTGGTGATAATGCTGTTAGTTGCCATTGAATCAGCTCTGACTCATGAGAACCTGTGTATAACAAAATGAAGTGTAGCTTTGTCCTGCAGTTACTTCATGATACATTGGTACGTTTGACTCCATTATTGTGGCTTCTAGGTGGTGATAGCAAAACCAGAAAACCCACTGCCATCAAGTTGATTCTGACTCATAGCAACCCCCATTGGGTTTCCAAGGCTATAAATCTTTACGGAAGTAGATTGCCTCATCGTCCTCCTGCAGAGCAGCTAGTGGATTTGAACTGTTGGCCTTGGTTAACAGCCAAATGCCTTACCCAGTGTACCATTAGAGCTCCTCATTGGATGGTGACAGAACCTGAATTTCTGAGTTTTGATTGTGTGAATTGCCTATTTTAGGCTTTAACAAATAGACCCAGAAAAAGCCAAACTCACTGCCATCGAGTCAATCCTGACTCACAACGACCCCTCCCTGAGTTTCTGAGGTGGTATCTCTACAGAAGTAGATTGCCCAGACTTCCTTTGCAGGAGTGGCTAGTGGGTTTGAACCGCCAGCCTTCTGGTTAGCAGTCAAATACCGTAGGCACTAGGCCACCAGAGCTTCCATATAGAAGTATTGTAAGTAAATACATTGTTTTTTTAGCAGTATCTGAAGTACATGTCACATCACTTTTTCCTTAATTTAGATATATCAGTGTATTCCACTGGTCTTTCCTTTTTCTTTTATTTTAGTGATACATTGGTGCATACTTACCATCTAGTGGCAAAAATGGTTAATGCAGGCTGTGTTTGAAAAGAATGATCCCCACTTGGTATACACACCTCTAAGATCTATGAAATGCTGTTGTGTATCTCTGCTTTTGTGGGAAAAATATTAAAATGTCAGTTCATAATTCCCCAGTATAGCATATTTATCATATCTGATTCATCCTAATCATTGGCTAAAAGTTCTTTTAAATTTTAAGATATCCAGCAAAAATTATTTATGAGTTACTAGTTTGGTATAGCTAGTTAATTTGTTTCAGGTGAAGCTTATGATGTAATAAACTTGTTCTTTTCTTGGTAATGAGTGGATTTATGTTGTTGGAGCCTAATTATACCAAAATGTGTATCTATTTATAGATATGTATGAGCCCTGGTGGCACAGTGGTTAATGTGTTCAACTGCTAACCAAAAGATCGGTGGTTCAAACCTACCAGACATTCTGCAGGAGAAAGAAAGATGTGACTGTTGCTTCTGTAAAGATTTACAGCCTTGGAAACCCTCTGAGGCAGTTCTACTCTGTCCTATAGGGTCACTATGAGTCAGAATCAACTCAATGGCCATGGGTTTGGTTTCTGGTATACAGACGTGTGTATTCATATATATATATATATATATATATACACAGACACACATATATATACATACATATATATATATATAATTTGTATACTTATTTATAGAAATTGAAGAATAGTAGGATTGTTAAAGTAGTACTGAGATTTGTAGAAAAATGACCTGAGGTGTTATACTTCTGAAAATCAGCCACTGAAACAACTTTTAAATCCAATGGTTGACAACTTTTAAATCCATGAATGCTAATGGTCTGTTGTACCGTAGTACCATATAGCTAGATAATAAAGAAAAAATAAAATATATTTATTTATAGACTTTTTTAGCAGGTTTTTCTACTTTATGCTAAAATAATTAATGTGCCAGAATCTTAAGATAGCTGTCAGAATGGTGTGGTGAGGGTGATGCCAGACCTCCCATTCTAATGTCACTGGTTGGGTGAGACAGTTAAGATGGCATCCTACTAACAAACTGTGCACCAGATCCTGCATTCAGCAGAGATTTTGAGAAGCTCAGTAAAACGGATACAAATTATGATCTTGACTTCACCAGGGGGAAGAAGAATCAAGATCAGCAACCCAAAGTTGATACCTATGAGACAGAGGTCAAGCATACTTCCTTCCACCCTCCAACCTTTTTACCAGTTCTGAAACCAACCATCTCTCTTATGGCACTTTCTACCTCTCTACTGGGTATGATAAATAGTTGCAGTGGCCACAGAGAACTCACAGACCATACTCTGTAGGTTTATTAGGGAAAGAACAGATTACAATTCAGGATCAGGATTCAGGATGCACTTACTTAGTCAAGACAGCTTCTTCCCAGCCATACTTCTCCTTGGCCCTCAGGCACCTTGCTGGGCTTGTCCTCTGCCCTGCTGCAGCAAGTGTTACAAATCTCCTTAGCTCCACCAAAAAGTTCTGGAGGCACCCTCCTTCTCCAGCAAGTCTGCTGCTTGAAAGCACTGTTTTCTTACTCTTTGAGCCAGAAAGTCCACTGTACTGTCTCACATCAGTCTCCTGATTCTGCTGCCCCTCTGCTGCTGCTTCTTGCCATCTCTTGCTAAATCTGGTGTTACATATCTCTCTCCCCCCCCCCCCCGGGGTCAGGAGATTCTCAGCACAGGGTTCCCAAATCCAAAGGACGTGTTCTCCTCCTGTCTCTTCTTGGTGGTAGTGGTCCCTTCTGTCCACCTCTGGGGGATGGCTCATGTTGAACCTACCTGGTCCCACACCAGCTTCACAATCCTTGATATACCTGAGCCCATCATTGCAGCCACTGTGTCGTCCATCTCATTGAAGGCATTCCCCTTTTTACCCTCCACTTTACTAAGCAGTCTCCTCATTAGGGTTCCATATACCTTATTTACATGGTCCCACCCCCACAAAGGTATCATGAACCTTATTTGTATTATTAACAAGCTATCCAATCCCCTCGGTGGGCCACAAGCACTTCGTTTGCATCATTTCGCCCAGTCATTTGGTAGGAGTCACAGAGACTGTGGCTAGAAGGGCCATATCAAGTAAATCAGTGTACCACAAGCCACCTCCTGGCTCTTCTAGCCATTGGCCCTTTCATACTTGAAGGATTAATTTTCCTTCCCAATCATTTTACCAGTTCAAAACAGTCATTAAAACTTTCTTCCTTCAGTACATAGAATGTCCTCAGGGTGAGGTTACTCAGGTATCATCCATTCAGGTCATCTTCTCCCTCTCCAACCTCTGATAAAATTTAACTGAGAGAAGGTTATTTCCATACTCTGAGCTTCATGAAGTATCAGCATAGCCAAAACTTTAAGGGACTTTAGGTTCAACCACTGTCCAGCAGTGCCCCCCCTTAGTCTACTCTTTCACACTTAAAGCTTCTACAATTATAGTTTTTATAATTATGATTAACCCTGTTAATAGTCAACACTCACAACTGAATCATATAATCCTATCATCATCTTCCCCAACCCTGTCTTCCCAGACCTATCTGGAAAATAGAAATCTATTCAGTGGGGATCATCCCTTGTCCTACTTATTTTGAGCATAAGTACATCCACAAAAGCTGTAAGCCAGCTACTTCATGCCTTTATCTCTCCCTCCTCTTCCCCCCTCACCTTGTTTTAGATCACACACTCACTCTGCTGTCAAGTCGGATCTTATAGTGACCACCCCTCCTTGGGTTTCCAAGGCAGTATCACTACGGAAATGGATTGCCCAGCCTTCCTTCTGAGGAGTGGTAGGTGGGTTTGAAAAACTGCCAGCCTTCTAGTTAGCAGTCTCATGCCTTAGGCACTATGCCACCAGAGCTCCTATCCCTGTCAAACCAGTATTTTGAGGAGACAAGCCCTTGGGTGCCTTGATATGAAGAATCTTCTATTCTGGTTGGAACTTTGAGTGGAAGTGTCCTTAAGTAGCATCCAGTCCAGAGCAAGCCATCAGATTGCATCAGTCTACATCAGTTTGTGATGTCAGACATCTTTCTCTTCATTCATTCAGTCTTCCCCAAGGAGGGGTTGCTATGAGTCAGGTCCAACTCAATGGCATATAACAACAACACATGAGTTTGTGATGTCAAACATCTTTCTCTTCATTCAGTCAAGTTCTGGGCAGCTCATCCATAGTACCCTGTGCCCTAGGTCAGTGGCTATCAGTGATGGACTGAGGAGTCCACACAACTTCCTGCATTTCAGGCCACCCAGCCCTGCCTCCCTCCCTCTCTCTCTCTCTCTGTCTCTCTGTTCCTAGCCGTTATGGGCTAGGTCAGCAAGTGCCAATAGAATATGTCCAAAATTCAAAAAGCAAATAAAATGAACCCTGTATTTCAGTTTTTAAAAATTCTAGTTAATTTTGGGGTCCAAACCTCCTTGGTTCCTGAAGGTATCAGAATACAGAAATGCCCCATATGAAGGTATGAGTTCTAGTGATTTCCAGTAAGACCCCTAGATACGTTTGATATACTTAAAAGAAGTTACATTCTGTACTTTCCCAGGGTTGAGAAGAAAGAACGAGCCCGGTTAAAAACAGTGAAATTCAATTCTAAAACAAGAGAGAAAGGGGTGAGTATATGAAAACTCTTATTTCCAGAAATTAATTGTTGGGCACTATAGGCCTTTTCATAATTCTTAGTTGAGCTATATTATTAAAATGAGGATTTTCATAAATTATAAAAAGCTTTTGCTGTGGTGCTTCACAGTAATAGACATTCAGTTAAGCATTTATTAATCTAAATCTCCATTTCATATATCTTCCCAAATTATCAAAACTGTCAGTTGATATATTCTTAGCTACATACTTTTTGGCCGTTATGTTTACAAATGAAACGAATTCAGCCTTTATTCAAATCTTCAGTTAGAAATTTGTGTTACCAGTTATTAATCATGATAGCTAATTTAATGATGAATCTTCTGGGAAAATAAGCCAAAAAATGTTATTATCTACTTCATAACATAAGTTTACAAGTTATTGCAAATGAACTCATGAAAATTTTCTTGTTCTAGCCCCTCTTTACTCCTGATAAAATTTGTTATTAATCTATATTTTAAATCTTTGAATCAATATGAATTTTAATCTTGAGCGGAAGAGGGAATGCAACGGTTGAGAGGAACAACTATGTTAATGGTCAAGAAATATATCAAAATTCTTTCATATATGAAGACCTGAATACATATTGTGCTGAAATGCTATTCACTCTAATGGCTCTTGTTTTGGGGCTACTTTTTTCATTATAAGTCCTTTAATCCTATTTCAAATGAGTATTGAAAGTTAGCAAAAAAAAAAAAATATATATATATATATACTCTGTACATTTCTGATATCATTAAATATTCAAACTTAAAGCCTTAGAATCTAGAAGATAAAAATACAATCCTTGATCAAATAAATGAAATTTCAATAAGGCATTTGTATGATGCATTCAGTTATTTTAGGAATGATAAATTCCTTTAAAATTAACTGTCGCTTTTAGAAAATCTGAAACTATATAGTACGCTCTGAAGCAGTATTTAAAATAGAAATTTTTATAGGAGGAAAAATCCTGAGTAAATGCTTAGGATTTGGAATATGTACAGTGTTTTTTGTGCTTGTTTTATGTATGTCTTAAAAAATAATTTAGTAAAATATCACTATCAATGAATTGAAAAGAAGGTTGCATGTTACAACTTTTCTTAATACTTAAGAAGTTAACTGAATTAACGAAGTATTTAAATATTAGTCTTGTTTGTTGAATGTAACCAACTTTATACACAGTTACTGTGTTCTAATACAACACCAGAAGTATGCATGATACCTAGTGGGGTAAAAATACGCTTGCCATTGATACAGGACTGCATTTCTTTCTGAAACACCATTTCCCATTCTAAGTTCTCCTTCTCTTTTCCTTACACGGTGGTTTGTGGACTTCTACTACAACTTACAATATTTCAGTTTCTCATTACTTTTTGACATTTACTTGCCTACTTTGAAATACTACATAGGAAAGTTATGTATTTTTATATTTAATATTTGTATCATGACTTTGTGATAATTTATTGGTATATTTATTACACTCTAGTGTCTGTCTTGCAATATACCATTGTGATGAGAAGTAACTGTACATTTGGTGGGGCGTTGATTTTTTGTTGTGTTTTTTTTAGCTTAGAGATTCTGGAGGTAGCATGTCTCTTCAGTTTTGTGTTTTTCATTTTTGTCTTGTTTGCTTGTGCTTTTTTCACTTTTAATAAATTCTTCACCTGGATGGTGTTAAATGTAATACAATTAATACATTTCTTAACTAACAAGCAATTCTTTCTATCTGTCCTATATTATATCTTTATGATATCTCATTTTGGCTAACTTCAAAGATATCAAGACTCAAAACATTTTAAACTTCATGTTTCTTTTGGTTGTTTGCTGTGAAACTGACTCTGACCACTGTATATGCAGTAGGTGGGGTAAATAATTTCTTACCAAATAAATCATCAGTTTTATCAGATACTATGAAATTTATCACTAATTAAAAACCCAGTGATCATCATGAATGAAGAGATTCAGTTCTTTCCTAAAATAGATTATTATAAATTTTTCTCTAATGAAACTTAGATTTTCTTCTCTTTGTACTTCTAAAATTTAGATTTAGGCAAAGATTTTTATACAATGCTACTTGACAGTTTATAAAATAGTCATAAGTCTAGATTTCTCCACAGTATTTTTTCCTGATCAGCTGAATGTTTAACTTCTGCTTCAAGTTCTTGTTTATCTAGTTTATCTTGAAAATTTAAGACTGAAATTAAGGCAATCTGCTTGGCTAATGAATTATGAGCTTATTAATCCTGAATTATTGATGTGGAAAAGTAAAAATAGGTTTAACTTTGTTTTCTGTAAAGATCGTTACCAAAATAAATTCAGGTCATTGAATTTGAGCTACAAATGTCTTTATTCTAGTGCAGCACCTTAATCAGCAGGGATCACATGCTTGAAAATATGGGCATGCCCAAAACATACTGTGTGGTATCAGTATGCTTCAAAGTAGTAGTAACATCTTATGATATGAATAAACTTAAAAAAAAAAAAATCAGAACAGAATTTCTATCTTTTGTATTGTTCCCTCTTTCAGAGAGAATAGTAATAATAATTCCCAGTGTTACTGGCAGATGAGGCAATTTCTTTCAAAACATGAATGCCTGTAACAGAGAAATTAGAAAAGAAGCTGTTCCTCTTTTATAGCCTCATCCTTCTTTTTGCTACATGCTCTTAAATCTGTGAACACACAAATAGGACATTCAAAATAAAAAAAATCCCATTGACATCAAGTTGATTCTGACTCATAGGACAAAGTATAACTGCCCCATGGGGCTTCCAAGGTTGTAATCTTTATGGAAGCAGACTACCTCACCTTGCTCCCATGGAGTGGCCAGTGGTTTTTGATCCGACAGCCAATTGCTTAACCACTGTACTACCAGAGCTCCTTAGGACATTCAAAAAGGGGAAAAAACTTGTTTCCAACATGTGTGCAGTAAAGGGTATCAAATCAGTTGCTCAGCTCCTCATAGCAATTATGTAAACCTTTAGAATCTGCTTTTGTGGCTTCTGTGGGCATCAAACTTTTTATTCTCTACTCAGGACATGGTGTCAATGGATATAGATATATGTGAAATATATAAATATAGTAGCACTAAAGAGAAGTGATAGCATTCAGGTTGGCCAGGACAATATGACTCCATTTCATTTTCTGATTCATGCTTTAAGCATTTGTTTGTTTTTCTTCTTTTCTAGAAATTAAGATCAGCTGTTTTTAAATATTCAGCAATAACAGTTTTCTTATAATGGTTTTGATTTTCTTTTTTAATGGTGGCCTTTTTGTTAGTTCAGTAGAGCCACACACACAAACACCCATATGGGAAAAAAAAAATTGCTCAAATCATAGGAAATTGAAGATCACTACCTAATGCATAAAATAAATTTTGAGCAGCTGGAATAACATTTAAAATAACTTTTTCTCTAGAGTACCTAGTACCTAGATATTTTTCTAGAAAAATATGGATTAGTAGAAATATACATTAGCTTGATTAGTACTATAGTAATAGCTAATCCTACTTTTGCCTTTTTTGTCAAGTAGCACTTATTCCTTATTTTTTAGTGTAACTAAATTACACTCTAAAATTTTAAATATTTTAAGTTGTAAAATGTTGGAGAAGTTCATACAAAAATTAGAAATTCACTTCATATGCAATTAATGTAAAATTCATATACAGACTGCACACTGTGGTCACAGGAGTCAGCTTCCACAGAGCTACTAGGCTGGGCTTTTGTACACACAGACAGTAGACATCCCTTTGTTTTGCCCCTCCTTCTCTTCTTCAGCAGTCATTCAATGACAAGCGTAAAAAGAACCTCTTTTCCCGAAAATTTCCCTTCTACAAGAACAAGGACCAGAGTGAGCAGGAAACGAGTGATGCTGACCGTAAGTATGTGGATCCAGTGGTCAACTGAAAATAAATGTAGAGGGACCTACTGCCCTGCAGTTGGTTGTTACCATGGAGACAGTTTCAAGAGCTGCAACAGGTTACTAATTGTCTTAATGAAGGGTTGCTTGAAAGGCATAAATTAGTTTGTATGTCAGTCTTAATTATTTCTGGTACCTAAGGAATTCTTAAATAGTACTTTTAAGTTATATGTTTAAAGTAGAATTCTTTGATGTGAGGACTCTCAGGAGAAATACTTAACATTTATGCTCTCAAAGAATATTTTAGACAGACACAGATACCTGAGAAGCTACTTAGAATTTCTAGGTATTACATTGCCAGTCTTTGTTACCAGATCATCTGGAATCACTCCATTTCATCCTACCTTTTCATTTTATGTAGACAATCTGAATTTACTTTTAAAATAGCAGTAAATAGACTCACATTTTGCTTTTCTACTCTAATCAGCCTCTAAGATAAAAAGAGAAAAAGCTCCTTTCATTCTTGTAGCATATTACATTTAGTTAATGGATCATTTCAAACTTTTAGAAATCTATGAAAATACTCTGTAAGAAATGTGTACCTGTAATGGTCTTGGAACTGTCTCTTACTGTAGCAACAGTTTTATACATTACTGACAACTATTTTCTTTGATTATCTTTTTATTGCTTGCTCTCTGGGGACTACTCTCTACAGGAGATCCCTGACGACATGGGATCAAAAGGCCTGAGTAAGTGATCAAAATACTCCGAAGTTATTTTTTAACCTCCATCTACAGACCTACATTTTTTCAGACACATTTTGAGATTTATGGTAGTGCTCTTCTGTAATGAGGAGGTATTAGAGTTAGATTGCTTTTAGTCTTTTTATGTTTATAACATGCTTGGGATTTTGATTTCTTTAATACACACCTTTTGTTTTTCTTAAGCTCCATTTTTCACATGTCACATGAAAAACTCTGCTCATAATTACATTTTCCTTTTTGTAATTTTTATGACAGTTATTTTCACTAGAGATATTTTTAATATAAAGGTTTTTTTAATATCTACATGTGAAAAACAATAATTTGGCAAATGTTGTGTTGTATATATTTTTACAATAATAAAATAGTACTAACCTTGTTATTAAAATATAGAAAATATGCTTCCTTGCAGTTTTATGTCCACCCTCCCCCTTTGTTATTGTTGTTGTTAAATTACTTTAATTCTGTGTTAGTAAGTTTGCTATAATGGAGAAGTAGAAAACACATTGATCTTAAATATCAGACTTCAAGTTGCAGTAGCCATCTATTTAGCGGGAAATAAATGTGTATCTCTTTTCTTAAGGAATTATAGGCTATGAGAAGAATTATAAGAAATATTATCCTATGTTTTTCCTTTAATCAAAATGATGTCTCTGGTTTTTATTTTTGTTGTTCATGTTTAATTTTCTAGCCAATATTTTATCTTCATATAAAGCTTAGTCCAGAATCTGATATAGAGGAAGCATTCAATAAATGTTAGGATGAATAAATGAAGCAGAAAATCATTTTACTAGACAAGATTTTAAAGTTGGGTATTTTCAGATTACTAAGATGTGAACTTTACCAAAAATGTTGGCTGAAATAATAAAATTTACTAAGTTATTTTAGGCGACAGTGACTTACAGAAGTCATCTTTTAAGCTAAATTTTTTTTCTAGATGGTTCTTTCCATTTTGATTATTAAATATTTCTAAAATATTGATCATTAAGAGTATAACTAATATCCTGACTTTCTGTTATCTAAGTGAAATAAACATTAAAATTCACAGTATTTTTTTTCCTGGTTTATGCTAATTTTATACTGAAATTTTAACCTATATATAGGTACTTAACTTTTATTTCAACTTTAAGGATTAAGGGTTTGTATTGGATTAAGTTGTACAGAGCTCTTAGATGCCAGAAAAAGACTTTTTTCATTTGTGTTAAGAATAAGATGTAAGAGTAGTTTTAGTCCTTGGTATTGATGATGTAATAATATTCAGGGAAAGCAGAAAGAAGAGATAACGATGATACATTTTATCAGGAATGTGTGAGAAGAAAGGTTAAACAGATTTGAAACATCTGTGGTTATCAAACATCAAAAGCAAAATAAAATCTTGAAGAAAATATATAATATCCTTATACTATAAACCTCTAACAAATCAATATAAACAGACTAACTATCCATTAGAAAAGTAGACAAATGTAAGACAAGAGTACTCAAAAGATAAGCAAATGAAATGTTTTTTTTTTTTTTTTTTAAAAATGTTTAACATCTCTAGGGATCAGTAAACAAAATGATACTACCACATAGTTTTCCATCTTCTTGGAAGACTTTTCTTATAAAAGAGAACGCAATAATAGAGAGGCTTCTGTGAATTAGCTACTTTTAACATAGTACTTTTCAGAGTGTAAATTAGTAAACCTTTTTGGAAAAGCATATCTTTTGACCCTACTAATTCCTTTTCAAAGAGCCCTGGTGGTACAGTGGTTAAGTGCTCACCTGCCAACAGAAGGATCAGCTGTTCAAACCCACCAACTGCTCCTCAGGAGACCCATGGGGCAGTTCTACTCTGTCCTATGGAATCCACTCAGCAGTATACAGCAATAGTTCCTCCTCAAGGGATTTATCCTGAGGAGGTAATCAGAGATGCAGAAGCTTATATATCAGGATGTTCATTTTAATATTAATTTAGAAATCAAATTGAAAGCTTTTTAAATGTCCAAATGTCTTCTTTCTGACATTTCAGTAATGAATTTTTTGATAAGTAAATTTTTTAGTGAAATATTTCTTGCAGAAAAGTACACAGCTCTATGAATCCTAAGTATATCGCTTAATTAATTTTCACAAAGTTGTGGTTACATGTGTAACCAGCATCCAGATCAGTAATGAGAACATTTCTTACGAGCACCTCAGAACTCTTCTTATGCCCCCTCCCAGTCATACCCCTCCACCCAAAAGGTGGACCTCTGCTGACCTAGAATAACATTGATTAATTCTGTTGGTTTTGAACTTCTTTTCCTCAATACTTTGAGATTTATCCCTAGTATTGAATGTAGCAGTGACTTGTTTCCTCATTATTGTAATAGTATAACATATGAATGTACCACAGTTTTTTTGGGTTCTTTTGTTTGTTTTCATTTTACTACTGATGGACGTTTTCCTTGTTTCCTATTTGGAGTTATTTTGAATACTCTTGCTTTGAACATTCTTAAACATGTTTTTTGCATACATTGCTGCTGCGGATTTACTAAGTTATGGGTATTTGTTTGTTTAGGTTTAATAGGTACTGCCACATAGTTTTCCAGAGTAGTTGTACCAGTTTACCTATACCACCCATCCCAAGCATGAGTTCTAGTTGCTACGTATCCTTCTCTACACTTGGCACGTCTGTTTTGCTTTTCCCATTTTAGCCCTTCTAGTGGATTGTAGGGGAGCTCTGGTAGCATAGTGGCTAAGACACTTGCCTGCTAACCAGACGGCTGGCGGTTCAAACCCACCAGCCACTCCTCG